CCGCAGCCATTGTAGATCGTTCGTACCACAGAGCGGAAATCACGGAAGATTATTATCGATATCCGTCGGATCTGACAATTTAATTATAATGTTCTGCATGAATAAAATAACATACCAGATGGCAAAAATAAAAATATTATTTTAAAATTATTTTTACTTTTTCTAAAGTTTGACAACTGAAAAGAAAACAAATTCTTGCTAATTAGTTATCTATATTAATATCTAGAATGATCTTATACTTAGGATTTTTTTTTATTAGAAGTGAGACTATCTTTCTTATTATTAATAAGGACAAAGAATGTACCTCTTTTTCGCCTTAAAGACATTGAACACATTGGTCATAAATTGTTGAGAACATTTTTTGGAGTAATAAATCTCACTTGTATAAAAAATTGCAGTAACAGTTGGGTGTCATTGTGGTCAGAAAAAGTTTAGCATTTTTCTATAAACAGAGCTGTTTATAGGACATGCCGTAGCAAAATAAATGTTCTGTTATGTGACAATGAGAGATTATTGTGGGCCGAAAGTTAACTAACTTTATCACACTTATACATAATTTGTCTAATACCACGCCAAACGTGACGGCACTAATATCAAGATGAATAAGTCAAGTCATAACATGATATACGCCTAGCTAAGTAGTACATAAAGGCAATTTTATATAGCAGAAGTTAGTTCAATCGAAGTACTCCAATAAGTTGTTTCAATTGGATCGAATAAATCTGCTTTGTTATTAGAAAAAGTTTGTATTTCGACTGAATACACCGTATGATTATGAACTTGAAACAGTTCATCCGTCTATCAAACAACAGTTAAAAGAATGTGATGCTGCGTAACCGTATCACAGAGCTAATTGTATCACCTCTATCCCATTATTGCTATGTATTAAAGGAGAAATATTTATTGTCACGGATGATGCTGAAATCCGCTGATAATGAGCTGCTTAATAAAGATACTCGATCGGGCAGCTCAACGCAGATATGCTCGACCTTTAAAATGTTCTCTACTTTGTCGAGTCTATTTGTTATTGATATTTGATGACTTTTACTTTTATTTAATTTGTAAGATCATTGCAATCGTTATATTTAGAAGTTTAAATGGTGACGAAAAGTTAACTGTGGCGTTGGGTTAAACGTTAAACCTCATTTTTGAATGAAAAATTGCTTTTTTCGGTGACGGCAGATTCTGGGGGTGTTTATGTTTATGTGGCGTTTGACTACTTTGGGTAGAGGTTTTTACATGTTTTACAATTCATTGATGTGAGGTTGCTTTTCTTTATTTAGTGCGATGTATGCCACTGTGAGCCATACATGAATCTTCGTCGTACAAGTTCCATCTCTGCTGGTATAAAACGAAAGGGAGACTAGAAGGAGTGAGTATATTGACTAGTAAATTGAACTTTTCGAACTTTCATAATCATTTATTATATGAAATTTACCGACGATTGGTGAGAGAATGTAGTTTTTTTTTTCCCATTGCACAAGTTAATCCGTGATTCACCTTCATACTGCATCATTATATACAGGTAAAAATATACCCCTTGATTCCCACGTCGAGAAATTAGAGATTGTTCGTTCTATCACATCTTGTTTAAATCGACGAAACAACAAGTAATACTCAGTCGGCGTGTCCGCATATTATTGCTCTTACCATTGCGACGCTTGAATACAAATGACTACCGCATACAGCAACCGTGCTCAGACAATTTTCCAGCGTTCTATGGATCCTATCCACTATAATGCTAACAATTGCACAGAGCAATCATATAGAAGGCAAGCTAACCAATTTTTGAAGACGAACAACATTATTAACAAAGATGAGAACGATAGCGGATCGATAGTTGGTAAGCTGCTTGAACGAACAAGAAAATGCACTAGATGATGTGATTGAGGGATATTTGTTCCATTTATTGTTTATAGCAAGTTGTTGGTGCAGTCACCTGTGCATGGGCAATGTGCTTGGTATGTATATGCTCTTGTGTATGCGAATCGTTAGTCTTGTTATTATTGTTCTTATTATCTCACGAATTTCTCTGATGATGTAGACAATGAAACGACATCAAGTTCGCATCGCAAACCTGGATGCGACCATGGAGCTGGTAAATAATCGTTGCGGTTTCGATCCTTTGCGTGTTTGTTTTAGCTCAAAATATAAATCAGGCTTTTGATTCTCTTACCAGATTATCAAAGACATGTGTCTAGTAAATCTATTAAATGTACCGTCTGTCAAAACATCCATGGAGATCCAGCTGATGTAACGCCGTTTGGAATTAGTGAGGATGGTGAGTTAACGCAGGAATTTATTGATAAACCGTTGAACCGGCATTCTCATTTGAAACGCGTATCATTTTGTAGAATGTCGTCGTCGCTATCTGTTTGGTACTTGCAACGGATGTCATCGAGGGAGAACCGATTATCAGTATTGTCATCGATGTCATATGGAGGATGTCGAAAGATTGTTTAGCGATGAGGATTGATCGCATATTCGGATCTTTCATTAAAATCATGCTTTATGTAATATAAACGTTGAACGGTATTTATATATATAATAAATAGAATAATACAGATGATTCATCACGATGGTGGTCTATGACATTCTGGTAATCTTACACTCGCACATGCGACACAAGGCTGCCCAAGACTCTTTTATTTCAAAATAAAACTGTGCTTATTATCTTACAGATGAATTCGACATGTCACAGCACTATTGGGATCTTTTTGCACTCAATCACTTGAGCCGTGTGACGGCGCGAAGTGAACCAGGGGGAGGGCGAAAATATCCTTAGTATTGTTTAAGCGGAAGGGCTTGAGTTTTATTCTTCTTTCGGAATAGTTGAACTCATCTGGTGATCTTCAGCCATGAGCTAATATTATTCGACTAATACTAAAACATAACGAACGCCCCCTTTTTCCGTCATCTAGAATGATCTGCTATTGGTGGATTAATAGTTTCATGTGAATTTATTAAATACGCTTATTACGGGGGGGATGTTTGCATTAAGTTTTTCTCTACAATGGATAACCTTTTCGATATCAATGTCAACCTAATTGTTATTGTCGCATCGATTAGTACGGTTACGATCACGATTGCAAGTTATGTAGCGTTAAGATTAATGCTGGAAAAGCCGCCTGCACGATTTCATGTTCAAGTACCATCTGGTAACCCAGAAATTTTTAGAAACCAATCATTTTGCAACAATCGCGCGATAATTGTCTTTTGTACTAATTTATTGATCGAAAAACCGATCTGAACAGAAGCAAAACCAGACTGGAAAGCAACCAGAACCGTCTCTAATCCTTCGATCAGGGTATATTGCAATTCGCAAGACCTGTTTCACAATTGACATTATGCAAAAAACTTTAACAAATCATTAAAATGCGCACGTTTCGTCAGGATCCCAATGATCCCACAGTTATAATTTGTTACGATCCGGCAACTGGAAAATACTTGTCCACCGTTAAAGCTCATACCGCAATCGATGTTACCGAAGCACTTTTACGAGCGCGAACTGCACAGAAATCGTGGGGACAGACGTCGTTTGCTGAGCGGAAAAGAGTATTAAACAGTCTATTGAACTATGTTATTGAGCATCAGGAAGAAATATGTTGGGTAACGTGTAGAGACAGTGGCAAGACCAGTAAGTGTGTTACAATTGACATTGCTATCGTGTTGTATGAAATAGGATTGGATTGCTCAAATGAAATGGTATTCCGGTTTAGTGGTCGATGCGATGCTTGGTGAAATTTTGTCAACATGCGAGCGTATTCGATGGACCATAAAGAATGGTGAAAAGGCACTTGCAACCGAATTCTTTGAGCCTGGGCCATTACTTCCATACAAGATTGCTAAAGTCGAATATCAACCTCTCGGCGTCGTTGCAGCTTTGGTCTCTTGGAATTATCCGTAAGCATATATGAAAACGGCCATGCCAGCATGTAGTACACTCGTTGAATGCAATCATTTGTTTTCTTTTCAGATTCCACAATTTGTTTGGCCAAATAATCAGTGCGCTCTTTGCTGGTAATGGAATATTAGTGAAAGCATCTGAACAAGGTTTGCGTTACCAAATGATTGTTTGTGAAAAATGAGCAAAATCGGTACGAGATAAACTGAGACGTTTTATAATCGATTTAGTCGCTTGGTCTGTAGACTACTTTAGTAGGATTATGAAAACGTGTTTAAAGGCGTGTGGTCATGATCCAGAGATTGTTCAATTTCTGTGCGGCTATGCAGACTGTGGTGAAGCGATTGTTCGCAGCGGCGTTGATGGCATCACGTTTGTCGGGTAAAGTTGCATTGTAATTCGAAATCATTACGAAATGCAGACGATTTTACTCAACTTTCGGCATTAGTTCTCCTCAGGTAGGGAAACAAGTGATGAAAGCGGCCTCTGATACGCTCACACCATGTATTCTTGAACTCGGCGGGAAGGACGCGGCCATATTAAGAGAGGATGCAAACTTGGATCAGGCTATTCCTATTATAATGCGTGGTACCTTTCAAAATACAGGACAGAACTGTGTTGGAATAGAACGAGTGTTGGTGCACGAGAAATTATATGATGAGTTTGTGAGGAGAGTTAAAGAAAAGATGACTACTGACGAGTTACGGGTTGGATGTTCGCTTGAAGAGGGAGAAGGAAAAATTGATGTTGGAGCCCTCACCATGAGTGGACAGGTACGAGTTTAATGACAATTGGTTTATTTATTTGTTTGTTTGTGTGTTTGTTTGTTTGTTGTGTGAATATATGTGTGCGCGGGAGAGTTTGTGAGTGTATGGATATCATTGTTATGTATGTTACAATTTAATGAATTCCGCATATCGTCAGGCCTCCCGTTTAGAAAATTTAATCAAAGACTCGGTCTCTCAAGGCGCAAAACTAGTTGTTGGAGGCAAATCATACATACATCCGATTTACCCTTCAGGACAATACTTTACTCCAACTCTCCTCGTTGATGTGACTCCGTCTATGCCAATTTCTCAGCATGAAGTTTTTGCACCGATAATGACGGTAATGAAATTTCAAACTGATGAAGAAGCCATCGAGATGTGCAACGGCTGTCCATACGGACTTGGTAATTCCGTATTTACTCAAGATCAGGCAAAGGGAAACGAGATGGCCAAACGATTGAAAAGCGGAATGGTGAATGTAAATGATTTTGCAGTCTCGTATATATGTAATCTACCATTTGGTGGAGTTGGTATTTCTGGATTTGGAAGGTAAGAAGAAGAAGAATGGAATGGAATGGAATGAACGGGTGCTTCTTGAAATGCTTTTAATCTTGTTGCGGTTTTCGTTCGCTACAATCTATTCATTTTTATTAATGCAGATTTGGCGGGAGAGAGGGACTTCGTGCTTTGTGTCTCGCTAAATCGGTCACTATGGATCGATTCCCGTCGCTAGTCAAGACCACCATACCAACCGTCGTTGACTATCCAATGCATGCAAGGGGAACAACGTTTGTCGAGAATTTGGTGCGAGTTGTTTATAAAAACGACATGCTCGAACGTATAAAGGGAGGATTAGCATTGGTCAGAGAATTAATGAGTCGTTGAATTGGTTGGGCATTCGAAAAATAATTAAGGGACATAATTAAATAATTCTAAAAATACACAAATTTACAGTTTAGGAATATCAGAAGTCCATATTCGAACTATGTTTCTTCGTATGGTAGTACAAAGTTGGCAGTCTTTGTAATAAATTCTCACCAAGGCGGCTGATAAACGCCCACATAAAACTTAAAGTCTTAGTTCGATATGACACGCTGATCTTCTTATTTATACCATTTATAGGGGTACCCCCATTTATAGACATATGATTTATTATGTCAGTCAAGATTGCCTAAATTGGTTGTGAAACAGAACCCTTGTTATAAGTAACGCAGATCAAGGATCCTGAACACGAAACCATGCATGTGTGAGCGGGGCATAGAGTACCCGGTAAGGCAATTCCCTCACATCCTCTTGCCTGCTTGAGATATTAGTTAGGAGAGTGAGAACTGAGGGGAACGCTAAGAGACATAGCAGAGAAAAACGGGTGAAAAAATAACATAAACAAGCAAGCAAGCGTGGGCAAAGACAATAAAAAACACATGATATAATTGATTAGATCAAGAATATTTGTTAAGAAAACTTGTGTTTCAGGTCAGTCATCGTAATATACCCGTCAAATATACTTGGCAGTCGCTAGCAAACACTCGAACATTACTGAATACATTCCCACAGGTACGTTCAAGATTGGTTTGAAGACGTAAAGTCGAGCATGAACTGAATCCTGGGTATCTATTAGTTAGTTTTGCTATTATTCATATACGCAGATGGAAAATGATGGAAACGCCACGAGCGCTGGCAACACATCTACAGAGTTAAATTCAAGATACGCCAACGGACATCATCGGAGAAGCAGAGTCCCGACACCCTTAAAACATCAAGGTAAAGCCTCGATATTGAAACTATTAATACTCTTTCTTCCCCCAGCACCTTGTCTTGGGTTACATTCCCTCATGATTATTCAATAACCTCGTCCCCATGTCGGTTTCCCTGTTTCGGATATTTCAACGTTCAGATGGACCTCTTGAATCACGCAAACTAGCCAATAAAGACGTCAAAGATTTCAAACGACAACAACCTTCCAAAAACACCAGACGATCAGCACAGAAAATTCCGGGCCCCAAATCACCCGCGCCATGCCCACCTCTTCGAGTTCTTCAGATGGCCCAGGCATGGGACGGTACCGGCCCACATCCATTTCCGTCAGGTAGTTCTCGCGAGCGACTCTTTCGAGCTGCAAATGATTTTACTCAAGGAATGGTGATTGCTCGTAGAATATTTACTAGAATAGTTAATGAGTCAGGATCTGTTTCCTTGAACGTGAGTACGGGAGGATTGGCCAAGATTACTTCTGCTCTGCTATGCGATAAGCGATCGTTTTACTTTGGTTCATGGGATGATGCAAAGAATTTAGCAAAGGCTATTCAAGGAGATACTATGATGAAGGGCGCGATAGGAATGTCTGTGCCCGTTGATGAAGCAATAAGGATTATGAAAAAGATGCTGATTCGTGAAGGCTGGAATGTTGTAAAAGTTGTGTTTGAAGCTACCGTAATGGCTTCGATTACACTTGGTAAGAACGTCAAACATGTTTTTCCGTTTCGAAGAAACCCCCTCCTCAAATAACGTTTCATGTGACAACATGTACCTATGGTTTCTATTTTTCGGATAGGTTATCTTAAAGTCTGGCATGACTGCAAAAGAGGCCAAGAAACGCTAAACGGCATAGCTCTAATCCGTCGTGCACTTTCTTTGATAAAGTATGGCTGGCTCCAACTCGATCCGCACGAAAAGAACTATCGCGTTCGTGGCAACACATTCAAACCAAGCTTTGAACGCTCATGCCGTGTATTGCTTGTTGATGCCATCCTTTGCGGTTATAGCAACTCATTGGATAATACGCTCTTTCCCCTAACGGATGCATTGGCTGAAGCAGAAAAGATTCTAGAAAATTGCCAAAACGCGTGCAACAATGAAGTGTTGAGCGAAGGATTTCAAATGTCCGCTTATTACAAAGCCCATTTGGCTGCTGCTTATCGGACTAAAGCTATTGTCGCTTACCACAAAGCAAACGAGGCAAAGATTGATGAGGAAGAGAGAATAATATTGTTCGATGTGGCAATTCAAAATTATGCTCTTGCCGCACAATACTTACCGTGCGATGATCTTGATAAAGCCATGCACTTGTGGGTTATATCGTGAGTGAATCGATTACGTAGTGTTTTTTTAGGGAAAGAGTGGAACTATATAACGTAGGCTAATCACTATTTTCCTTGTTCTACAGAGAATCGCTATTCAAACGCGGTGGTACAACTATTATTGAAATCAAGCGGATAGTCGAAGAGGCTATCGCCTGTGAGAAAGCTGCGTCTTCTGTCTTTGGAGACTTGGGTGTCTATACACCTAAACTGTACACGATGCGTTGCTTCAAAAATATAATAACACAAGGTCAGTCATGCAACGATGATACAATTCTCCCGTCCAACTGGGATGAGCCTAATTGGTTAGAAGACAAGGATTTCGGACGATTTGTTATAAAAGCTCTTGACGAGTATAAAAAGGACAAGGAAGAAACTACGAAACGAGCAAGACTATTTGCCGCAATTCATATCTGAATGCGCTACTGGGGGGAAGGGGGGTCACACCTCGTTATATTTTGCAAGACATGCATCAATTGAATCCATGAGCGTTGAAACACTGCCGAGCTTTAGTTTCTGCTTTTTTCGCTCTTCAAACAGGATATTTCCTTGATTTCTCATTAGGCATTGTGCGAAAAAGATAAGATGTTATGAATTTAAATGTGTATATTTTTTTCACATGCTCAACTTCCGCGACCGGGCAGTCGTAGAGGAAAAGCTGGGCTTTGATGCCCAAGATGTGTGTGTGTAAATATATATGTGTGTTCTTAGCAAAAAAAGTATTTAAATTCTATTCGTTAAACAGTTGTGTGTAGCCTTTCACGAACGAAGAAATAAAAAGGCGAGTAACTAAAAGGAAATTTCATACTAATATAATCATGCAGATTTTAAGATCCCATACATCAATTACAAGGTAATAATTACAACATGTTTGAGGCCAGGCATTTTCAAAACACTCTCTACAAGATTTACCCATGGGGATATTCAAAAAAGGCAGTATCGTTGCTTTTCCAGTATTATTATTATTTTAATTACTCTGATCATCCAATTACATTCAGTTCAAGTCTTTCAGTCATGTGATTTAACAGTGGGAATTCTTCACGTGATTGAATCGAAACTGTGAGGATAATAACAGTGACTCTAGCATGTATACATTAATCTTGATCTCGTATTGGACAACTAATGATACTCGATTCGATTAATTTCCCCAAGGGCATGTTTTCTACAAATATGTGCCACAGATGAAACAACAAGCAGGTCATGAGACTGAAATGCAATGCATTTAAGAGTTTTTCCTTGATAGATGACATTAGCCAAAATTACACAAAAATACTGTATCCAGAAACGTTTTTGATTGATCGTTTCAATGGATTAGTACATGTGCCTTGTCTAACTCTACGTTGCGGAAGAATCACTGGGAATGTCAACTAATATTGGGAGAGAGTGAATACGCACAATAATAATGCTCCAATTTGTACCCATGACTTTGGGGAGTAAAAAAGTTTATTGCGTCACAATACTGTGAAAATGATATAAGAATGACATAGTTGTATTGACGTAATAGAAATTTGCAGGGTTCCAGGGTTTCGGCGTTGAGTAATATTAAAATATGAACAATTCTTAATTGTGCCACAAGAAAAATTTGTGTTTCTGTGACCATTGTCATGAACGCCACTATGATATTAGCAATATTATCTAAAGAGTCGGTTTTAACTCATTTTGACTATTGAGATGCAGACACAAAACTTGTGGCGTTTGCCCTTTAACTCTGTGACATCTTTATTGCGGTATGCTCTAACTATCTATTCTTAGGAACCGATACAAGAAATATTAAAGTTACTACAATTTACCGAGATGTTGATTTATTATAGTTAAAATTTGTAAACGTTATGCTAAGAAATGCAATAATTTTCGTAGGAATATTTTTTTAAGATTATTTTCGCAAATAAGTCAATAATGTTAAAAAGCAACTCTTTACTCTATAGACATATATATTAGCTTTATGTTATTTAAAATTGTCCCGATCGTAATGTTTACAAAGGCAAGTCTTAAAAATACTATATTCACTCCACTCATAAAACATACTGTATATGAATAAACCTTGCCTAATGCACATTACCTACTTTTTAAAAACCAAATTATAACCATTTGTATGAATTGGACGAGTCACGAAACTGGTCAAAAAAGCCTCCATAATTTGGATACGAGGAATCGTTATATAACTGAAAGTCAGAAAACAATGATGTTGGCTGTCGCAAATTTTCCTGGGAAGCAGTGTATTGAGGAACGGTTGATGATCTGTTATCGTTATTAGAATGAACCTGATTGGAGTAATCTGGTAACATCAACGAGGACGAACCGATTACTGGAGACTTTTTTTGATCCTCTTTCCACCAGTCAAATAGACGACTTTTGGATTGAGGCTGTCTACATGCACGCGAGTTTTTAATTTCATTTTCATCCAGACCCCCCGTATTGAATTCGCCAGCATTAGTCCAAGAAAAATATCTACTTTGAAAATCCTGTGCGGAATTATATCCATTGTAGCCAACATCATTACTCTTGTTAAAGGTAACAGACATGTCACAGTAAGGAAATGCCGGATTGGAAACATTATTGTTATTGTTATTGTTATTGTTGATATTGCCAATGTGACAGTCATAGTCATTATTATTGCTGTAATAATTGTGACTGCTACAATCAACTTCAAAATTACCAACGTTGAAAGCCTCATCGGGCAACTTTTCAAACTCGTTTGCTGCTGTGTTTGCGTAATTACGTGTATCCTCGATAGTTTTTGTCTGTTTGGGTATGCTTAGAACCTCTTCTTGTACGGCTTTATTCACACCTTCTTGTTCGTGCATCTCGCCACATTTGCCTTGCTGTTCGTTATCGATTACGTACTCGTTCTTATTTTTACCATTACTCTTGTTATTTTTCGTATCATCGCAACACGTCTTTTCCCGTTTCTGATTGACCCTGTCAAAAAAGCGACTAAACAACACGCTCTTGTTTGTGACTTTTCCCTTGTCCGCTGAACGTGACTTGAAGTTTTTCCACTGCATGTGCAGATCCATGTCGGCACATGAATCGCCAATGGTAGAGTTGGACGGTGAGCACAGCGGCGAGGGGACGTTGGAATTAGAATGCGCGTTGACACCTGCTGATTCGCCATTTACATTTTGAATTTCAAAACTATCGTCATCACGGTCTTTGTTATGCGCTTTTGCATGCTGTCCGTTTTCATTCGTATCAACAGTCTTGCGCGCTTTCTTTTTTATGGCTTTAACGACATAGATGTGATCACTCTCATCAGAACTGCCCGTTTCAACGTCCCCGTTACTGCTTTCTGCTTTCCTCTTTGCAATGTGATTTGCCACTTTTTTACTTATTTTAACAGCATTTGATGCTTTGAACAATCCAAACATTCCCTTGTCAGCGTTTCTTTTCAAAGTAATCCTCTCGCTGGTTACCACCGGTGACCGAAATTTGTTCATTATACTCGACCCAGGCGCTTGTAAACGTAAGCGTGTGCCAGTGTTCTCAGAGTCTGGTTTTCGTAAAGACTTTTTAAGCGTCGCGCGCGTTGACGTTCTTTTACGGGACTGCTCGGCAGCGAATACCTTGTTCGGGGCAGACGTTTTCTTGTTTTCGTCTGGGCAGTTGTCATATTGCCCGTTAAGAGCAATATGACGCTGCTCGTTTATCCACTTTTCCGCTAGTATTTTTCGACTGTCTGGCATTTTTTGATATGTGGGTTAGAGTTGGAAAACAGTTGTGTTCAAGAAAAGAATGAAAACGCGTTTTGAAGGGGATCGACATGAATTTATTCAACATACAATGAAATAACGGACCCTTGAAAACCTTGATGCAATTAAGCATATTAATATTAATTCACGTTACCACTTGTCAATCACGTGGTATAAGTATACGGCCATTCTCTACAGTCATCAATCTGCCCGTTTTGCAAATACATAAATCCGACAATATATTAGCCTTGTAAACCTCTTTATTAATTAAGACACGTTGCATGCCATGTATTGTTTCACTTGTATGTCGATATTACTAAGCACATCTAGAATTCAGAGATGGATAAAAAAATGCGAGATTTTGATTGCGTTAATTGGTGTACGTGCAAAATTGTAATATATACAAGACCATACTTGTGGACAGGTGATGACCATACCATATTCTTTTTTGCGAATCACTGTTGACTTCACGTGTTTGCATTTCAGTGCCGGGCTATTTGTAGAGAGATCATCTGAATGAGAGACAACCAAGAGGACATTTATAAGCTGTTTATTAATAAGTGTGATAGTTTACATGACTTAATGTCCGGATTGTAAAATTTTGTAAAATTTTGTAAAAAATCGTAACCGCAGTAGGATATACGCAAAGTCATTCTGATATCGTGACATTTCAGCTCAATGGAATCCAATCATGTTACAAGGTAGGGAAAAGGTAAAAGATTCTTATTCAAAAACTGTTTGCCGAGGCTTACAAAATATTAGAAAACATGCCCGCCCTTTCCCAATATAATCCAAATGCTTTGCGCACTATACAGTAACATACTTAAACCCATTAATAAACATCTTAATGTATATAAACAATCAGTAATACACCTGTATTTAACTTTTCTGTCGTTTACAACAATATAACCCCCTAATTATATAGTAAACTAGATAAAGTAAATGCCGGCTGTTGTGAAAAGCTATTTATAGTAGTAGAAAACCTTAATTCCAAGCTACACTACCATAATTATATATATTATCCCATAACATAGCTTCTTTATTGCGTGTATTAAATTACAAATCACTTGCTGCATTCAGCCTTATCGATCCTAATAAAGAATGCGAAAACTTTGCAAAAACTATTCTACATCGCATCTCATCTCATCACATCACACATCCTATCCATCCCCATCCTCCACCTTACTCCATCTCGCTACTCTTTCTTTTATCTTTCTCTTTTCTTCTTACTCACATCTTCCTTGCTTGCTTTCTCCCGTACGAGCTAAACTCCCGATTGCTCAAACACGGAAACGCATTACGAATCTCTAAAATATCCAAGCACCAGCAAAGAAAGCCAGGATAGCCGCACCAGCGAGCACTTCGAACGGATAATAACCAACTGGAACTTTCTCCAACGTCTTAACGTTCAAAGCTGACTGACTACCATCGTTTACTTTAGAAGACGCAATTTTTTCCGATTTTGCTTTGTCATGCTCCAATTCCATCTTCCTCTGTCTCAGCTGCATTTGTTCCAAGTCCGCTTTGCAGGTCTCCAACTTTGTTTTCAATTTGGCATTCTCTGCTTGTACTTCAGCCAAGTGTCTTTTCAATCTCGCAACGTCGTTGTCATCACCATTGCCAATTGGAGTTATCACATTATTAGGCTTTGACTGCTCTACAGGATACGGACTTACATTGGCTGACGCGTTAGAATAACCGCCTACTGGAGTTGCAACGTTGCGATCGTGGGTAGAATTGTGAGATATGTGGGCGGGAAGATTCGAAGAGGAAGTTGTGACTTGAGCTGGTTGGTACTGATATACTTGCTGCTGTGGTTGTACAATAGGAGTTGTATCGACATGCTGCAAGTTAAATAAAAAGGTTAGTTAATGTGAGTTTAGTAGAGAAAATGGCGGAAAGTCCGCAGTTCCGCAGACAAGATCAAAAAGTGTCCAATAATTCGTCCAATCATTGTTGCCAGACTTGCCCGTTTATCAATCTAACCTGTTTACCCTCCACCCATCTTTTACTAAATTCTTTCCCTCATCCCAGACAATTTGCCCAACATATACACACCCCTCGTTCTTCTCCTCCGTTATGTAGCTGCTGTGCAGGTGCTGTATATCCAGACGTTGGGTGTACTTCCAAGTTGTTGGATGGAAGATATACACATCGAATTTTGTTTTCTTTGATCGAATTTCTAGAATTTTGTTCGACTGCAGCCCACTAAGAGTTTGGAATTTGAAGAGAATTAGGTGAATGTCAAATCCGCGCATCCTAGTAACCCATCGCACGATACGTATTCTCTCTTGAAGACAACATAAACATGTTTCTGTCATCCTTACCAATTCTTGAAGACTACCAGTCTCAAGTTCTGGGGTAATTGGCACACTTTGTACTAGGAATTTGTCTCTGCATTTAAAATCTGGTGGCGGATCTTCCTTCATTGGCTGGAGGATGACTAAGAGGGAAAAAAAAGAACCAAAGGAAAGAGTGTAAGAGTGGAGAATAACAAAGAGACTGTCATTTTCATATGCATTAGCCATGATATGGGACAATAACAGCATACTCGAATCACCTTCACATACACTCTAACAATACATTCAAAAAATTCCCCTCATCTTCTCACCTTGAACATCGACACTCTCTCCAGGATCGATTCGTCCCGAGTTTGGTCTAACACAATACTGCTTTGGCGCAGTAGTCTTTACTTTGAACGCAACGGGCAGATTGTTTGGGTTGCGTACACTGAGAATTTCTTTTACGTGTTGTGTGAAGGGTCCTTTATGTAGTCAAAATGGAATAGTGAGGTCAATATATGTCGAGAGTGATGATAAAAGGGTGGATAATACAATTAATTGATAAATGCGTTACAATAGTCTCTTGTAGTCAACTATACGATGAGCGCGAAAATTAGATGGTGTTCTTTTTCTTTTCTTTTTTTTTTTTTTTCGAGGAAGAGGTAAAATGTTTAGAAATTGAGAAAAAACGTGCGTAACAAGAGTGTGATTTGATAAAGTGATATCAACCCAAGAAGACTACATTGCTTGACATGATATAACCACACACAGATATCGATACCCGTTGTAATCAAATCTGACCAAGTCGTTTCTAATAAAGTTGTAAATAATAGTACTACCAAATGTTATCTCTCCACAGACGCTGTTCGCACCCATCGGCATACTTACTACAGTCTTGCTAAATCTTACTAAATTTTTTTTTAGTCTGCATCTCTTCCTCACATCCATCTCTGTCCGCCTCGCTGTCTATCTATTTTCCATAATACTACATATACTTACGGTGAAAGGTAAGTTGATGTGCAGGTACTAACTCTACAGACATTGTGGTCCTTCGAATGAGGGATTATGAAGGTGCAGAATGAGGATGCTAAGAAATTTGTTTGACGTGAGCGTGTTGCTGTATCAATATTAAGAGGTGAGTTGGCGCTGTTTCTATTTCTTGTTTGGGTATATATCCTTTTTCTTGTGTAATCCTTCCCGGGTGAGGGTTTATGTGTGTAATTAATTTATCCAGGTAGAGAGAGAGAAACGATAAAGAGGTGAAGGTAGGGAATACGTGCTTTATGCTGTATTTGGGGTGGTGAGTTCCTCAGAGTGGTGGAGGCATGGAAGCTAGATAACGCATTATTTGAGGCTACACATAAGCAATTGTGACACTAGGCGCAATTCGGAAAGGCATTTGTTAGTATTAGTAAAGTTAAACATGATCGATTAGTAATTATTTATTACAAAAAAATAAGTAGATATAGCGATAAATCAATAACGCTAGGTGAGTGAGAAACAACAAAAATAGCCAGTTAAATTACCTCAAAGCGCGTATGCTACTCTCTTTTCATTCTTTTCTCTATCTAAACAAATCAGATAAGTCAGCTGCCGAAGCCTGAATGACGTACGTAGTACGAGGAACGGTTTTTGTACGATTAAAATTTTGGGCAATGTTATAACAGCAAAATTAAAACTCGAAAAGACACACTTGTTTAATCTGATTGGCCGATTACTGCTCCAATCAAACGAAATGTGAACAGTGTTTGTATGACATCTCGGACGACAGAATTAAATACATTTTAGTGTTAGTTAGTGTCATAGGTTGAACGAATTAACTGTCATCCGAGATGTCACAGAGAATGATGAATGGAGTGCTTGTTGACTTATTCGCTCTAGCGTTAATTAGTGCAACTGTTGACTTTCGGTTATTGAGGAATCGTATGATTAGCAACAAAAAAAAGTGACCATGGCGCAGAGTTAAAACACTAAACTGCCAAGCATTGGAACTCGATTGTTTTCGTCTGTCCCTCAATCGGTAATCAGAATATTTGGAATGCGGAGAGAAAGACTCCAGTCATTATAACGACGTTGGGTAAATCATTAATAGTCATAAGTGATTTTGCGTTTGTCCATTCAACAAACTGCTAATGTCGTTCTTTAGCGACAGTCGATACTTATTATTGATTGGTATTATGGAAATTAAGTTTTATAACGACTGAATGAGAGGTGCATCTTTAATTTAGTAAATTTTTTTAATTATAGCGTATTTTTAGCGTATTTCTTACGCTACAGTGCATTATTTGATTTTAAAGTTTAGCAAAATCGTACAGGTATTACTGTTACTTGTGTGCCTTCTATGCTATAAAGTCAATTATTAGTTTATTATTACATAATAATAATTAAAGTTAATACTTGGGCATAAAATATTGTCTTTTTAAACAATTCAATTTGCAAAACTATCAAAACATTTACTGATGTCAACTACGTTTATTTTACCAGACTCTCACAACAAAAGTACGTTTAACTACTGCTATATTTGTCACAATATCTGCATAAGCCTTTCTGAAAAAAATAAAATACTGCGTGCGTGTATGAACTGTTCTTATTGTATCAAATAATAAATATTTATAAGTTAGATGCACTGTAATGATGAATAAAACGGCTGACCTTTTTGCTGTCTTTGAGAGTATTCTAGGAAGCTTGTTAAATTCAAAATTTTTATAACAAACAATGTCCATGCATCATACAATAGACCAAAAACGGATAAACATGTGTTGAGGTACAACATTAAAAGTTACATGCTTATTATTGAATCATTATGTAACTTTGATGACGTTACAGTATAATAATTGTTTTTGGTTATGAAAAATGTTGAACGATTAGTCTTTTTACAATGAGAGCAAAATTTAAGTTTGTGAGTAATGTATTTAAAAAACACAAATAGATTAAACCTTTCTTTATTTGCCGAGAAAAATTATGAAATAAAAGACAAGCGGCTTAATTAATTTGACAAACGAAAATGATGATAATTCTGGAGAAAAGAATAATTACATACTCCCCCACATAAGCAATTGTTGTGATTACGTCTCCATGATTAATAGAAACCCGTTTGTGGCAGTCGATCAGATAATAAATAAACAAACCTGCTAGACAGACATGAAACAAGAAATGACAAGAGGAAGTACAAAAGTAAAGTCTGGATAGAAAAAAAAATTCTTTAAATCAACGACTCTTTCTCATTTACATGTTACGCCCCCCCCCCCCTACCTACATATGGCCGTTGGTTTGATTGGACAATGTACCGCTATGGGCTGATATGGGCTGACATGGCGTGTCTTGTAACAGCTGTGTATATTCATTTTTAAACATCTGTTTTCGGAAAGCATAATTAATATTAATACAAATAATGATAAACCCAGGCAGTGGTGCTTTTTATGTTTGCTTAATTTGATCGACCGCTTTAAGAATTAACTTATTTGCAGGGTAACACACAATGGATGATGAAATCATGAATCTACAAACGTCATTAATTGTGTGAGAGTATAAAAACCTTTTTACGTAACACAATGAACGAGAATGTCAAAACCAAAAGTTGTTACGAAATATTGCTTAATCACTATATATATACTCGCATATTATCACCACATTCTGATTCGTGAATACTCGAATTTTACGGGATGCACGAAACTCGATTAGAACTCAAGTGCGACAAACAATAATAGTAAACAGATAGCTTTTTTTTTATACCAATTCCTAGTTTCTTTTTATGTAGCTTATCGCATATGGCGTCGTCGCCGTATCCATTGTTGCGTCCAAATTTGTCCCGTTTGGGCTTTTGTTTACAGGTCGGCATTCACTAATGACTCTTATAGGTCGCGCATTCCGTAAGTGGCCGATATCTTCATTCGCCGACAGGTTTTCTCAAAAAACGAGCACTGTCGAGAAACCTGATTGATTAAGAGACTTGATGTGCCATTAACTGTTGCACAGACTTACCTGCATAATAGCCAGATCTAGTACATATACGGATGGGTAAATGTATATTTCCCGTGCCGCTGGCAAGATGCCATCACGTGTTTCTTGGCGTAATGGCGATAGTGTATTATTACATGCGATATTTCTAACACTAATTTAGTCTCCTTTGTTAAATCAAGAGTTTTGGGTCAAAACTACCTGGTACCAGCATAATTTATCTTTTTACTGTATATCTTATACTAGTACTGTTGTATACTCAAGAATAGTGTCTATATCATATCCGTTCCATAAAATCTGTGGGTTTCTTCAACACGACGTCATTTTAAGAGTAAACCAGAGGTTATTTTTCAGAATGTGACGATGCTTTGTAACTTCAATCATGCATGTCTAAAAGAGGGGATGTTTACAATGTATTATTTGGCTGTTCCGTCAAAAATAGGAGCGAATCAAAATTTAACAAGTTGACGTCATGGCGATTTATGGTACCAACACGTCGATTCTCACATACGGAGACTTGTTAGATCGCCTAGCTAATAAACAGTTATGATTTGCAAGCATGAACACAAGGTATTATTAAAACAAGTCAACCACAATGGTAACAACCAAGTAAACTCAAAAAACTTTAAAAGAAGACTTTTATTTATAGCTGACCAATTAATATACTCGTGTTAAATCAGAGTCACGATTAAGACGTATTAAACATAGACATTTATCAATTTGTTCAAAGAACGTTT